TTTTTTTTTGTAAAATTATCTGAAGTTATATTAGTGTCAAAAACTTTTATAAAATATATTTCTCCTTTTCCCCATCTCTCACACACTTTTGGACTGGATTTTTGGGACAGAAGTCTGTTGATGAACCATTGCAGCATAAAAAATATGTATCACTTTTTTTTTTTATCTGAGAATGAAAGTTTATGCAATTAAAATGAATGTACTTAGTGTTTATTTTTTTTTTTTTAAATTTTCAGAGTAATATGTATGCTGTTTTGTAAGAAATAAATATGTAGGTTTTATATTTTTGGACTCTTTTTGATCAATCGTGAGTTATAAATTAAATTCCATTCATTCCATACTGTCTATGGGAGGGTCAGAGCTCTCAGATTTCATCAGAAATATCTTAAATCGTGTTCCGAAGATGAACGAAGGTCTCACGGGTTTCGAACGACACGATGCTGATTAATTAATGACAGAGTTTTCATTTTTGGCTGAACTAACCCTCTAATGTTGAAGCCCGTGATTGTAGGTTTCTGAGGCGTTCGCCACAGGTTTTGCTCTTCTGTTCGACGTTTACGGTCAGTTTTTAACCTCGGAATGCCGTTTGTAGATTTTCAGACATGTTTTGGAGTGAATCGTGATGAATCTGTAACGTGTGATTGATTGATTTGTCTCTGAATGCGACTCGACTGGTACAAACCTTGATGGGGAACGAAATCGACGCATCCAAAGCTCTTCGTCTTGATTTTGTATATCAGCAGCGTGTTTAGGTTTCGTTGTGTGTCGCTGTGCTGTTACTCGCGTTCCTCTCCATCGTTTATTTCTCACATCGTTTGGAGCCTCTTGCTCCTCTGTAGTGGTACATATACAGCTTCTGTGATAATAAAAATATTATTTAAAGACAGACGTGTGTTATGTGCTTTCTTATCCACATGAGATTTATTTTTAAATATTAAAATGTTTTATTTTCTATAATTTCAATGCTCTTGATTTTGATTGGATATTGAGTTTGTTTTTATTTATTTGAATTATGCATTTTAATTTAATATTTTTAATGTAATTTATTATTCTAATTAATTATTGTAACTTCATTTGTTTCTCTGTTGTTTATTCATTCTCTTTAATAAGTCTAATTGTTATTTATTATTCAGTTTATTTTATAATCTAATTCTATTTTTATTTAATCTAATTTTTAAAAATGTTTTTGATGTATAATTATTAACAGTTATTAAAAATATTTATTGTAATCTTATTTATTTCTCTTGTTTATTCATTCTCTTTAATATGTATAATTGTTATTTATTATTCAGTTTATTTTATAATCTAATTAAATCTATTTTTATTTAATCTAATTTTTAAACGTTTTTGATGTATAATTATTAATATTTATTGTAATCTTATTTATTTCTCTTGTGATTATTCATTCTCTTTAATGTCTAATTGTTATTATTCAGTGTATTTTATATTCTAAACTTTAACTTTAAACTTATTTTTATTTAATCTATTTTTTAAATGTTTTTGATGTATAATTATTAACAGTTATTATTCTAATTATTTATTGTAATCTCATTTATTTATTTCTCTTTGTTGTGTTTATTCAGAGTTCAAAGTCGTTTGTTGTTACAGATGCCAAGTAATTGCACAAGATTTTTTTTTAAATATGAACATTTTATTTTTAATATTAATTATTGTATTTATTTTTAATTATAATAAAGTACTTGCTTTTATGGTAGCTCACAAAACTTCAGATTAGTCCGAACATACTGTAATTAACTTATGCAAATTCATAACATTTTGATGCATTTATGGTCACAAACATTCCGTGTAGTCGTATGCATAAGTTAATGCAATTCATAAAAGCTTTTCAGGTCGTTGTAGATTTACATGCAGTCCTACAGACTAGATTCTGAAAGGTTACTCGGTTTGAGTCTGGCATTAACTAGTTCTCTGGTTCTGGTTAGCATCTGGTTTGACCCTCCAGCAGAGGTCAGCAGAGTCTTTGTTCATTGATGATCTTTCTATAATGAGATGCTAATTTCCTCCACATATGCACAGAATAATTCAGTTATTATGATAAAGACTAAAGCGAAACCCTTCCTCGTGATTCTGAGATCAATGCGGTTTATGAACGTTGATTTTTACTTACTAAATGATCTCTATTTCTCTTAAATCACCTTTCAGCAGTTCACTTAAACAGCCCTGCCAGCCATAAATCATTTCATAGAAGGACAAATGTAATAATTATTAGTAATATTAATAATTCTCACAATATGAGCTCACAAAAACCACATGAACAATAATAATTCATTATTAATCAATATGGTATTGTTAATATTAATAATATGAATTATAATTGTAACAACTATTATTATAGTTATCCTAATAATTTATATTTTTAATAATTATGAAGTAATATGCTATTACATATTAATATTTAATAAGATTAATTGTAATACATTTTATTTACTAATATTAATAAATAATTATGAATAATAATAATAATAATAAATCGAAAAACTGCTGTTTAAAATAGTTTTAGAAAACTCCTCAAATACAGATTCATAACATTTTGATGCATTTATGGTCACAAACATTCCGTGTAGTCGTATGCATAAGTTAATGCAATTCATAAAAGCTTTTCCAAGTAGTTGTAGCTTTACATGCAGTCCTACAGACTAGATTCTGAAAGGTTACTCGGTTTGAGTCTGGCATTAACTAGTTCTCTGGTTCTGGTTAGCATCTGGTTTGACCCTCCAGCAGAGGTCAGCAGAGTCTTTGTTCATTGATGATCTTTCTATAATGAGATGCTAATTTCCTCCACATATGCACAGAATAATTCAGTTATTATGATAAAGACTAAAGCGAAACCCTTCCTCGTGATTCTGAGATCAATGCGGTTTATGAACGTTGATTTTTACTTACTAAATGATCTCTATTTCTCTTAAATCACCTTTCAGCAGTTCACTTAAACAGCCCTGCCAGCCATAAATCATTTCATAGAAGGACAAATGTAATAATTATTAGTAATATTAATAATTCTCACAATATGAGCTCACAAAAACCACATGAACAATAATAATTCATTATTAATCAATATGGTATTGTTAATATTAATAATATGAATTATAATTGTAACAACTATTATTATAGTTATCCTAATAATTTATATTTTTAATAATTATGAAGTAATATGCTATTACATATTAATATTTAATAAGATTAATTGTAATACATTTTATTTACTAATATTAATAAATAATTATGAATAATAATAATAATAATAAATCGAAAAACTGCTGTTTAAAATAGTTTTAGAAAACTCCTCAAATACAAACATGACAGTGTAATTACAGACACTGTTACGGTTTTACAAATAACAAAAAAATTTGCTTAATTTTAAAGCATCTGTCTTTCCCCACATATTTTCATCATCGTCATGTTATTATTTTAATTATTGATTTATTTTAATCTAATTTAATCTAATTAATGTAATATTTCATTAATTCATTCATTATTATAATTATCTAATTTATTTACTTATTTATATTAATCCTATTTTTTACATTTTTACAGTTTTTCTCTAATCTTTTTAAACGTCATTTATTATTGTTTTTATTGATTTATTTTAATACTTATTCAGATATATATGATACATTAATCTCATTTTGACAGCTTTTCTCTTTAGAATATTTTTAAAGCGTCTCTGTCTCTTTAAAAGCACAGTTCCCCCCCCCCGCATATTTACATTTCGCGAGATTTCCCATGGCCTCGCGAGACTTGGCGTGACCCCCGTTTGCGAGACGCGCGTTTCCCCCGCAGAGGAGCACGCACAAACGCCCCCGACGCCCCCCAAACATACGCACTTTCCGCGCTCGCTCTGCTCTTGACGCTCGTCGGTCGTTTGGCGCGGAGCGACGATGTGGATTCAGATCCGGACGATCGACGGCAAAGAGACGCGGACGGTGGAGGATCTGTCGCGCCTCACGAAGATCGAATCGCTGCGCGTCAAGATCCGCGACATCTTCAACGTCAGTCCCGAGCAGCAGAGGCTCTTCTACCGAGGAAAGCAGGTAAGAGACCCGCGCGTCACGCTCGCAGGGGAATTCGCTTCTCGCGACGGATCCGGATCAATAACGCTCGCGCGCTCGCTGACTGACAGCTGGATGTCACGCGTGTTTCTGACACGTTCATGTAAACACGCCTCATGTGTGTGTGACTTACACTAGTCTAACTAGTATCACTCATACTGGTTAAGTCAAGAGTTTTCACTCTTTTAAATGTCACGGACCCCCAAATGTGACCATCCTAAAATTTATAAAAACCCAATACTGTGAAAAATGTGTATTTAAAAATATGCATTAAAAATTACTTGAAAAATACGTCCCGGAACTATTGTATGGAAGGCCGTTTCCGCCACTGAAAAAAATAAAAATAAAAAAGGTAATTTTTTTAAATCTCACAATTCTGACTTTTTTTCTCAGAATTGCGAGATATAAAGTCAGAGGTGCGTATTTTTTGTATATCTCACAATTCTGACTTTTTTTCTCAGAATTGCGAGATATAAAGTCAGAGGTGCGTATTTTTTGTATATCTCACAATTCTGAGAAAAAAAGTCAAACATGAGAGAAAAAAATCTGAATTGTTAGGGTTAGTACAATTAGTTGTAGTACAAAAAAGTCAGAATTTTGAGTTTATATCACTAAATTCTGACTTTATAACACGCAATTGCGAATTTATATCTCACAATTCTGAAAAAAAAAAGTCCGAATTTTGTGATATAAACTCGCAATTGCAAGAAAAAAGTCAGAATTGTGAGAAATAAAATTAGAATTGCGTATTTTTTTTCAGAATTGCGAGTTTATATCTCACAAGTCTGAGAGAAAAAAAGTAAAAAATGCAAGAAAAAAAAATCTGAATTGTTTTATCTTGCAATTGTGAGAAAAAAGTCCGAATTTTGAGCTTATATCACTAAATTCTGACTTTATAACACGCAATTGCGAATTTATATCTCACAATTCTGAGAAAAAAAAGTCCAAAATGCAAGAAAAAAAATCTGAATAGCAAGTTTTTATCTTGCAATTGTGAGAAAAAAGTCAGAATTTTGAGATATGAAGTTGTAATAACCTTTTTTATTTTTTATTCAGTGGCGGAAACGGACTTCCATACTATTGTTTCTCAGTCGAGCTAAATGTTCCCAAATGTTCCCGCGGGTCAATAAAGGAGTAGTTCACTTCCAGAATAAAAATCTCCTGATAATTTACTCGCCCTCATGTCATCCGAGATGTTCATGTCTTTCTGTCTTATGATGATATAAAGGAAAGGTTTGTATAAAACTCTTCTGTCTGTCAGAAAGCACACAAATCTGTTTTTGTAAACATAATTTTTTGTGTTTAGACTTTATTAAAAGACATTTGAAGTAACACGTTTATTTATAAAGCACATCTCAGACAAGCGCCCTATGATTTCCGCAATACTTAATAATAATAATTATTATTACTATAACAAAATTACTAAAACTTTATCATTTTTTAATGGAATATCAAACCATTTTTCTTCCACATTTTAACTTTAATTTTAAATTGGAATACTGAAAAATTACGATGGAAAAAACGGAATTTGGGGAATGGAAAAAATAAAAGTCTTAAAATTGTCATTTTTATTGAACTTTTAATAAATAGTTGTTAAATTGTATAAAGTTGAATCCTTTCAATTAATTAGGCATGCTTTCTGATTACTAGAATTTTATTTAACCATTAAAACAGAATCTAGAAAAAATTAAAATGGAATTTGGGTCCTATTCAAAGTGCATTACATAAAAATGAATTGAACAAACAGTAATCATAAATACAAAAAAGTAAAAATGGAAGAAAAACAGATTAAATGTACTGTAGTTGTGGTATTTTTGTCATCATCGGATTCTGATTGGCTGTCAGAGATTCCAACGATACTGTTCATCGGTGTTGTTATCGTTATAGTTGTGCTGTGGGCTCGTTATTTTCATAGATTAGAATGATCATTAAAACTGTATTGTTATAGTTACTGTCCAGTGTTTCCAGTGAGTGTGTGTGTGTGTGTGTGTGTTTGTGTGTGTGAGTTTGTGAGTGAGTGAGAGAGAGAGAGTGTGTGTGTGAGTGTGTGTGTGAGTGCGAGTGTGTGTGAGTTTGTGAGTGAGTGAGAGAGAGAGAGTGTGTGTGTGAGTGTGTGTGTGTGTGTGTGTGTGTGTGTGTGTGAGTGTGTGTGTGTGTGTGTGTGTGTGTATGAGAGAGTGTG